GGCTCGTCCTCTGATGCGATCCTGTATGTCCCACTCCTGCCACTGAGCCCACAGCTTTCTATGAACCCCTGCAGTGGGAGCGAGCGTGGTCTCTGTGAGAAGTCCCTGTGAATGTGGCATGTGATCTTTGAAGTCATAGCCTGGGGCCTGGTTTAGACTCTCGGGTCCCTGGGCCTGTGCTCACTGGAAGCACAGGACTGGGAGGCAGGGCAGAGAGACGCCTGCAATGGAACTTGGAGAGACAGTCATCGTTTATGGTGACAGCCCACAAATCTCTGCAGTCAGTGCTTGAGGTCTGATTCCGCTGTTGGGAAGGATTTTGGAGTGACTGGTAGGTAGACTTTAAGGGGGGGGGGCAGTACCCAGGTACTTGACTTTTTTTGTTCAAGGCTGGAGCTCTACCACTTGAGCCACACCTCCACTTATGGCTTTGTGCTGGTTAATAGGAGATAAGAGTCTCTCATGGACTTTTCTGGCTAGGCTGGCTTTGAAATGCGATGCTTAGAAGTCTGTGTCCTGAGTAGCTAGGAGCTACCAACACCTTGACTTTTTTAATTTAGTAATTGACTGAAACAAAACTTTGCTCTCAGTCCTGTTTCTTTTTTTTTTTTTTATTGCTATCCTCAAGCGCTATGATAAACTACAGAGCGTTTCCACAGGCTCCCAGCCCGTGAGGCCGGCGCTGGCTTTGTCCAGTTGGAAGCGAGCTGTCAGTCTAGTGTTTAAGCCCCAGTGATTGAGTGTGGCCGCAAAGCCGGGTCTGATGTGGCCTGCATCGTACTATGGGGGCTTCTGTGAGAAAATGAACACCGAACACAGGAACGAGGCCCGCCTAGCGAGGGGCCCTGGAGCAGCAGCTTTCCTAGCCACTCCTCCGGGCCTGTGGTTTAAGCAGACAAGGTAGCGTTTGTCGCTGTCCCCGAAGGCATTGGGAATTCCACACTGACCTCACCAGTGACCATTCCTGCCATGGCAGCCATCTTATCCTAGAGGGCTCTGCTGGGTGCCTGCGGGCACTGATGGAAAGAAGGCGTAGGCAGGAAACAAGTGATCAAGAAGACAAGAATGGCCAGGTATGGTGTCACATGCCTGTAATATCAGCACTCTGGATGGCAAATTTGAAGCAGCCTTAGCAGCTTAGCTAAATGTTGTTTTAAAACAAAAAGCAAAATAGTAGAACATGGAGGAAATGGAGAGAGAAACAGGAAGGGAGAGAGAAAAAATAGGACAAAGAGACAGCGCTGGAAGTGGGCTTGGCTCCTTCACAGCGGGGCTGTCACAGCGGGGCTGTCACAGCGGGGTGGTCCCTTCTGGCTGATCCTCTAGTGCACGTCGTGTGACTCTGAAGAGCTGATCCTGAAACTAGAATTTGTCAATTACTTCTCAACACAAAGGGTTCCCTTGGGTCACAGAGACAGCAAATCCCATTTGCAATTTCCCCATGTTGTGGAGCTGGATGGTTGCATGGACTGAGATTAGGAACTGAGTGGGAAGTCAGGAAGGACGGGTTGGCAGCTGTCTGCCCCGCCCTGTGCCCTGGCCGTGTCCACAGTGTGGCAGCTGGGCCTTCTCTACCAGTGTGAAAATAAGAGGGGTCTAGCCCTGGCCTGTCCCAAAGCTGCACAGCTCCTGTGGGCCAGCCCTGCCCAGTCAGCTCCGAGCCTGTGTGCTAAGCGGGCTGGTGGGGCGGGAGCAGCAAGCTGACACGGCCCAGGGTCTGCAGCCTGACAGCCGGCTGCCAAGGAGCCATGCCTGAGGCGGGGGAGGGGGGACTGGTCCTGGGCTTGAACTCTGGGCCTAAGTGCTGTCCCTGAGCTTTTTAATTCAAGGCTAGCACTCTACCATTAGAGCCACAGCTCTACTACCAGCTGTTTGGTGGTGAATTGGCGATAAGAGTCTCACGGGCTTTCCTGCCCAGGCTGGCTTTGAACCGCAATCCTGAGTAGCTAGGATTACAGGCGTGGGTCGCCGCCACTGGCTCAAGTGCGTTTCAGTGGTTCTTTCATCCCCTCTGAATGGCACTGCCCACGCTTTCCTCCACCCGCACCTCAGCCCCTCCCCAGCTCTCTGTCTGGCTGGGCATTGATTGGTTTGATTGAGGAGAGCGAGGATGGCCTTGGAGCTCGTGCTAGCACCAGGACCCTTTAGCTGCTTTTCTTGTTATTGCTGTAAGTAGTTGACTTGTAAGTAAGCACGTCCATTGATGCGTACAGGCGGCCTGATCAGCGCCACCCCTCCTCCCCCGGCTTTGTCCCTCCTCCCCCAGCTCTGTCCCTCCTCCCCCGGCTCTGTCCCTCCTCCCC